CAAAATATTTTCTTTGTGGTTGGGGGTGGGGAGAGGGATAATAACACTGCAAAATGTAGGATTCTTTTTTTATTAAGCTTTAATCATTCAATACCAGAAGGGAATAGGCATGAAGTAGCCAACACTATGTGATTTGAATAATGAGGAAAGAAGAGGCAGGTCTGTCTACCCTAGTGCAAAACAAAATGAAACTTTTGTCTCACGGCTGCTGCTTACATCTTTATTGGATGTCACACCTCATGCACACTTTGAGAGAAACAGATTGGAAGTAAAGGCTGGTAGAAAACAGAAGTTAATTAGTGGCAGGAGCCTTGTACCAGATGTTCGTCACAGGAAGCAAACTAGCTAGTCATTGAGAGAAACAGGATGCTGCAGTGAGTGAGTCATTGGTTTGATCCAATAATATAGTTCCTATGCTTTTAAACAATCAGATCTATGCCTCTGCTGTGGAGGGTCATCATGTTTTTATAGTCTTCATATGGTGCACATGCACAAAGCCACAGTCATAAGCAATGCTATTCATTTGAATCTGGGCAGGAACACACAGTTATAGAACTACAAAATGCAGGAATTCTGGAATGCCAAGCCTTGAGGCAGCTTGTCAGAAGAAACTCAGCAGCAACTTCTGAGGCAGCAGGAAGTTCTGTGGAGGACTGCTCTCGTTTGCAACAGAGATCAGAATTGTGAAAGCACAACTGCTTCAAGCTCAGCTCCTTCTGTGTTTAATTAGCAATTGACATTCCCCCAACTAAAACATCTAAGAAGACCTTTGTCAGAGTATTTCAAGTACTGCTAATAAAAACATTTCTTTCAAGGGCAAGCAAGAACAAGACACATCTAAAATGGTTCTTAACTGGCATATGTTAAGAATAGCAATGCTTTTAACAATAGGAGTGGACAAACAGCTTGTGAAACATGCAAACATTTATAAAAATTTCATATTTAACTAGGTCCAATTTGCTGTGCTGGATGTGACGGGTTAGGGTATTACCTTTGGTTTTTAGATTCTTGGCTTCCAACAGACTGTTGTAGTATGTTTCCGCACACTCTGGGACAGCTCTTAAATTGAAGTTAGGAGGCTGCAGGATGGTGACTATCTGTGCAGAATCACCGTTTTCTAAACACTGGTTTATCATTGTTGTCCCAATGGCCACTAAAGGACAGAATAAAGTGAAAGGTTATCAATTATGCATTTCCAGCAATCCATACATTATGGGCCCTTAAGCAGGTTTGTGGCACAGGGTGAAACCACCGTTTTCTAGTCCAGTTCATGGTAACTGACAAAGGGAACTCATGGATTGGGGATTCATCTCATGCACAGGACATATGCTTTACATCAGATTATCGTGGGGAAAATAATCTGAACAATCCAACAATAATCTGAATGTGGGAGATATTGATGACTCTGACTTTATTAAACATTTGCACAGCCATTCAAGAGTTAATTAAACATTGCTGAAATTTAATGCAATACAAATGCTGAGAGATGAAGTTGTGTGCTACAATGGTAAAGGTAAAGGTAAAGGTACTCCTGCCCGTACGGGCCAGTCTTGCCAGACTCGAGGGTTGTGCGCTCATCTCACTCTATAGGCCGGGAGCCAGCGCTGTCCGGAGACACTTCCGGGTCACGTGGCCAGCGTGACAAGCTGCATCTGGCGAGCCAGCGCAGCACACACGGAACGCCGTTTACCTTCCCGCTAGTAAGCGGTCCCTATTTATCTACTTGCACCCGGAGGTGCTTTCGAACTGCTAGGTTGGCAGGCGCTGGGACCGAGCGACAGGAGCGCACCCCGCCGCGGGGATTCGAACCGCCGACCTGATGATCGGCAAGTCCTAGGCACTGAGGCTTTAACCCACAGCGCCACCCGCGTCCCCGTGCTACAATGAAATGTCCTTAAAAGAGATCTGATTTTGACATATTTCAGAGTGGCTGGGAAATCCAAAGAATGCAATTGGTTATGCTAGTCATGTATTGCTTAATTTTTGAGAGAGTAATTAGGAATGATTTTTTTGTTAAGTGGGAGATGGGCTTGTGTGTTACACTGCCATCGGGGGAGGAAAGCCTTCAAGAAACTAAGCAGAGTTAAGCTACAATGTTCTGAGAAGTGGCTTATTTGAACTCCATCAGCATATAGATATAGAAACAGATATAGATATCAGTGGTAAACTTGCTTTGGGTTCAGAGGCTTCACTGAGTTTGGAGACTTATCCCCCAGAAGCTGTGCTTGGTGTCAGGTCTAAGCCTCGGAATATGTTACGAATAACTAAGTATCTGAAAACATCCAGAGTGCTTTTTCCCATAACCAGCCTGGAATATGATCAGAGCAGGGACACAACATCATACAAGCCTTAAGATATATATTTAATGTTCTTATAAATGAATAACACTTCTGAAAGTATCATATGTATGCTTTTTATTCTTTTAATCCCCCCAACTGCCCCTCCTCTTCCATACTGCCTTTAACAGTTAAGCTTGAACTTCAGAGTCTCTTAATTCACAGAAGAACTTAGTGCCAGTGCAGATGCAGAACTGCTCAAGGCTGGGCACGGCAAGTTTTAAGCAAGAGTGGCATAGCAGCTAGAGTTCCAGACTAGGACTGGGAAGACATGGGAACAAATCCTCACTCAGCTGGAGAAATAAAGACCCACATATGCCATCTTGAGCTCAGAGAAGGAAAGCCCTTTTAAGTAGTGATCTTTCCAAGTCTGCATCTGCATTGGTATTATTTTCAGATGTTTTAAGCATTTTATTTTTTGTGCATTTGCTGCCCTGGGTTTAGTTGGGAGGAAGGGTGGGATATAAATTTTAAAATAAAACAACAACAGAAAGAAAGAAAGAATTGAACACTGCTTCCCACAATGCTCTCACTTTTCTTTTGTTACATTCTTCCCCTCTGGACAAATAGGTTTAGCAAATTTTAGTAAAGATATTAACCCTATAAAACTTGCTTATAAGGTTCAGAGCACATAAACGGCATGAAAACATTCATATTGTAAACAAGGAAATAAGGAGTAGTTTTTAATGAATTTTATGTGGGTTTTAGATTGTATTAGCCACCTTGAGTGTGGTTGTACCGATGTGATGTACCGATGTTTAAAATGAAGAAAAACCCAAACAAGTTTGCAGCTCATTTTGGGTCACATCTTCTCTCCAATACTTGTCTGCTTTACAAATAACTTTATCACTCAGGTGGAAAATGGCATAATTACTCTTTCTACTCTGGCATTAAAATGGGGGGAGGGTTCTAATATGTAAGTCTAGCTAGCCAGGGAGGAGGGTTCTACTTTAGGCTAACTTTCTCCGATATTTGCTGGTTTTCTAAGCAAAGGAATGCAGGTTTATTCCTAATTTGGGTAGCAAACATATAATACCCACTTTCAGGCTGAAATGGTACAGTCGCTAGAAGGATTATATCACACACTACAAAGCAGAGAAGGCAAACCAATGAATCTAGTAAATCAGCAACAATATCCAAAATTCAACAGCTTGTCATTTTTAGTGTTTACTAAATCTTTGGTCTTTTTTGAGGGAGGGGGAGTTTCATCCTTGGACAATCAGCAAACAATTCAAGCAAAAGCAAACTTAAGTTAAATGATATCATTTTCTTTACATAAAATAGTTGAGAGTCAAAGTAAACAGACTTGGGTCCATATAGATTGTATATTTCAGAATGTGACTTGCTAGGTGTATATTTGACTTGTGGAGGGGGACAAAGTTCCAGATAAACAGGTGTCAATACTTGGTTTCAAAGTTCATGTCTACCTTTTCAGGAAGGGAACAGCAAGTACTTTTGACAACAAAAGTAGCGTTCAACATACTGAAGTACTAAGCTTTAACAACCTCTACCATCCACAAGTCAACATGGCTTTATTCTAGTTGGTTATTCCATACCAACAGCAGCTTGGCTCTTTTAACTTGTCAAGTACTTTATAAGGTTTACTGCATTCACCTTCACAACAATCATATGTGATTTAATGGATGGGAAATTGAGGGTCTAGGAGTAAAGTTATGACAGAGGTAGAAAAAATAGGAAATTGCCTTATAATGAGTCAGACCATTGGTCCATCTGTCCCATTGTTGTTTACAATGACTGACAGCAGCTCTTTAGGATTTCAGACAGGAGTCTCTCCTAGACTACTTGGCAATGCCAAGGTTTGAACCTGGGAACTTCTGCATGCAAAGCAGATACTCTACCACTGAACAAAGGCCTATCCATAGATGAGATAGTGAGATTTATAAAGCTATATCACCAAGGTAGGAAATGAGTCAATATCTTGGTCACTTAGTTGAAATTCACAAGATTATTCAAGGGAAGTTGTGAAATTTTTTGGTAAGCTTACATCTCCCGCTATCAGTTGCATCTCTGTACTAACGAAGTTCTATCCTTGAAAGCCATTGCACACAATCATGCAAGTATGAATTCCCAAGGTAAATTGGTCATGTGAAATGGAATTTAAATGGCCTTGTTGAAATAGAGAGTGAGCCTTTTACTGCTATTGCAAAATAACGATTACCAGTTCATAGAATGGATTCAGGTGGGTGCTTACATTTTGATGCATCTTCTATGTTCGTGTTGGCATCATCAATTCCTTTCTGTATCTCATCCAACCAAAGAACTGAAGAATCATCATGAGATTCCTGGAGAAGGGAGAAAAGGGCACTAAAATTAATACAGTTTCTTGGATCTGTATTCAATTTGTCCAATGAAAAACCATGTTTACTCAACCTTTCTGAAATATTGCGACAAGGTATGAGTTTGCGAGTTCTGAAAGCTATGATGCCAGATGGGATGAAATGCCATGAAAAATGAAATATTTTGTTTTCCTGGGCGTACACACACTTAATATATCTTATTTTGAACATCATTATCCCATTTACTCTGCAGAGACAGCAGCACAGTATGTGTGCTCTTTGCTTGTGATGCATTGTAGCCAGGATAATATCAGGTGGTATAGGGGAGTTTGCAGTGTTAAATACTTGGTTCTTGAAACTGGGAATGGAAGATCAGCTTCACATTTTCTAATTCTATTGCTAGACTGGAAACTTCACAAACTCTGGGTTGTTTGGTATGTTAATAATGTTCATTAACAGAGATGTGGGTTTAAAGTTTATTCCCAGAGAAAAATATTGAATGTATTAGACTTGCACAGGAAGATGACTCAGTGCCCATGAAAAAACGCTGGTTTGCAATCTCAAGATCTTTGCAATATGAAGGATGTGTGCGTGCAAACAAGTAAAAAGCCACATCATCCAACTATACCACTATAAACTTTAACACACACACACACACACACACCACACAAAATTTCAGCTTAGGGTTTAAAATACAATTAGATTCCTATTGCATTTGGAAAATGAGGTTAACACATTTTTTAAAGCTAGATAACTTTTTGCATTTACATAAAACAAAGTTCATTTCACCAAAATTCGGCTTCAGGAATTTGGTAAAAACTCACAACTGACATACAGGTCTGTCACCATCAAGTCTAGTTGGGTCTTCAGAGGCTTATGCACAACTGAACTGGTAGTACTCATGGTGATTTTAATTATTATTATGATGGCTTAATCTGAAATGTAAACCAGGCCATAGTTTATCAATAAACCAAATTATTTGTTTCAGCTAAAGTCTTGAGTCTGTGGACTTTTATCACTGGTTATGCTTTATTCCCAGGCCTACTGGGTTGCTAAAATGCAAATTCAAGCCCAGATTAGGCCAGCAAGTTAACACCAAGTTTTCCTCCTCTTAAATAATTGTTTTGGAAGTCCTAGAGACCGAACACCCCATTCTTCTCTCTACTTATGGTAGTTCAAGAGTTAACTTCACTCTTGTTAAATGAAGCTAATCTCTGTGTCAGCTCAAAGCTTAAGCAGCTTCGACTGTTTCCACATTCTGGTGTGTCACACCCTTCTCCAAAGAACGAAACAGCAAGTTTCCTCAAAACTGCTAGTACATACAGGATGAGTTCAGTTCACAGATCTGACGCTCTAAGCATTTCTTTCCCTATAAGGAGGATTAAGCAGCAACGGAGAAGCTAAAATGCATATTTTTAAAAACTGAGTTTTGATTACTGCTACAATGACATCTATACTCTTATTAATAAGTGGACAGCTCTTCATATCCTCCTGCTTATCCCAGAAAGGTAAGAAGTTCGCATTTGTGTTGTGTCTTAGTTCTTTTGACAGAAATTGACCAAGTCAAAGCCATATCTGTATCTATCTTTTAATGGAGTATTACAATCTCAAATGAGGCAGATTTCTATTTCAGTGATGGGTAAAAAGAAGTATTTAATGCTCAAGTATCTTGATGGGAGAAAACAACATATTTAATGCTTAATTTTCATTAGTAGTACTTGGTTGTAATGTGTCACTGCCTTTGGTAATATTCCCTATTATACATAGGCAATGGCAATCCATTGTGGAAACTTAACTTTTCATTATATGTTCTTTGGCTATTTGAAAATATATTAATGCATTTTCAAATGCACAAACAAACCCCTACCCCTTCTGAGGACTTTACAGAATACTAAATCTAATAGCATTCCTAAAACACATTGCTAATAAAAATAACATCATCCCAAAGTTGTCTGAGTATTAACATAGCTTCTATAAACAATGAAGTTCTGTATATATACAGTGGAAAACAAGTTTAGCATAACATAACGGGGATTAAGAACAAACAAAATACTTGATTACTACTTTATTTTGTCTGTTTCAAGTCTCTTCGTAGTCCTGCCTTCATATCTGAATAATTTCTCTATTGACAGGATGATAAATGAAGGCTGCTTGCACAGTAAATGTTTTATTGGGAACTAGAATCATTTGTTTACTCGGTTATGAGAATCCAGAAAAGAGCCCTGCAGTATTTCCTGTGTTGTCTAAGTCTTTAAAGACCTGCTTTATTGTAATTTCCCCAACTTTAAACATACACTGCAGTGTTGGGCTTCTCCAGCCTTGACAGGCAAAGTTCTTCTCACCTAATACAAAGAAAGATGTGACGTGGTTTCACAGTTACTGCAGGAAAGATAGTGAAACTTGCCGGCCTCACATTAATTGGCACTCAAGCAGTTTAAGATTGCAATCCCAAATTTTATTTACAAGGGGGAATAACTTACCTCTGGGATAGTAATTTAACTGTGGGATACAGAGCTCACCCCCCAAGCACAGAAGTTAAAGTAACAAGCAGACCATGAAAGCTAATTTTGTAGGTGAAGTTTTTGTGTGTGTGTGTGTGTGTGATACCAATCCTTAGATGGCAAAGAAAAGGTTTTTTGCTTCCCAAGCTGATTTCTGAGAGCCCTTTTCTTTCCCTAAAAATTAGCAACATATTTGTATCATGTATTGCATTTATATACCACCTTTTTCTCCAGGGAGCTTAAGATGATGCAAATGGTTCCCCCCCTTCATTTAATCCCCACAACAACCCTGTGAGGTAGGTTAGGGCTGAGAGGCAATGACTGACCCAAGGACATACTTGTTGGCTAACTGGCAGTTTGAGCCCTGGACTCCCAGGTCCTAGTCTGACACCCATTGTATACCGTATTTTTTGCTCTACGAGACTCACTTTTCCCCTCCTAAAAAGTAAGGGGAAATGTGTGTGCGTCTTATGGAGCAAATGCTGGCTGCGCAGCTATCCCAGAAGCCAGAACAGCAAGAGGGATTGCTGCTTTCACTGCGCAGCGATCCCTCTTGCTGTTCTGGCTTCTGAGATTCAGAATATTTTTTTTCTTGTTTTCCTCCTCCAAAAACTAGGTGCGTCTTATAGAGCGAAAAATATGGTATGTCATATTCAGGGAAACACTGTTCATTACACACACACACACACACACACACACAAAATTAGAGTATAAATTACTGCAACTACCCATTTTTCTTTTTAACTTTTAGACAGAGAATGTAACAACAGCAGCCTGGAATGTCAAGGTAACGTGACATTCCCCATCAGGACTTTCCATGGGGCTCCACAAGGTGCTTATGAAAAGATACCTCATTCTGCCATGGAAGGCGCAACAAGGACCAATCACAACCAAGAAAACAACTGTTCTGTGAAGAGGTCCCACGTTTCAGTACTGAAAGTACGCAACACCACGTTGGAGTACCTGACCAGCCCTCTGAGTGTAAAGCTGATTCCAGCACTATACATAGCTGTTGTTTTAATAGGAGTGCCCGCAAATGCCTTTGTACTATGGACACTGTTTTTCAGGCTCAGGTCAGCCCGGATTGCTATATTCTACACTAACTTAGCCATTTCGGATTTTCTCTTCTGTATCATGCTGCCGTTCAAAATTTCCTATCACCTCAGAGGCAACAACTGGATATTTGGAGAACCAATGTGTCGAATCATGACTGCCATCTTCTATGGCAATATGTATTGTTCCACGCTCCTCCTCACCTGCATCAGTATCAGCCGTTATGTGGCCATTGTTTATCCATTTACTTACAGGAGTCTGCCCAAGCAGCCCTTAGCAACAGTGGCATGTGGAGCAGTATGGACAGTTGTTTTCTTATACATGCTGCCTCTGATCATAGCGAAGCAAAGCTATAATCTGGATCAACTGAATATCTTTACCTGCCATGATGTCAGCAATACCTGCGAAACTCCATCATCCTTCCAATACTATTACTTCATCTCGCTGGCAGTATTTGGATTTGTGATTCCGTTCTGCATTGTTATTTTTTGTTATGTTTCAATTATCCGAACACTCAAATCTTATGATCGGAAGTGGCTGTGGTACATCAAAATCAGTCTTCTCATCCTCAGCATTTTCGCTGTCTGCTACACACCCAGCAATGTCATACTGATCGTTCATCATGTGAATTACCATCGCAATTCTACAGACAATTTGTATTTCTTTTACCTTATTGCTCTATGCCTAAGCAGCCTGAACAGTTGCCTCGATCCGTTCCTTTACTTCATGATGTCCAAAACCAAAGATAACACCAGCGTTTCTCTCACCATGGTTAAAATACCCCGGGATGAAAAGACGTGACACACTTCTGCTGTGATACTTGATGAAGTTGTATATACATCATTTGTTCATAAATTTACTATTTAAGATATCTATTTTTATAATGGCAAAACTGAATAAATTCAAACTATTTTAGGGTTGCAAGGTTTAACAGAGGGCCTTTTCGGTAGTGGCACCCGCCCTGTGGAACGCCCTCCCATCAGATGTCAAAATGATAAACAACTACCTGACATTCAGAAGACATCTTAAGGCAGCCCTGATCAGGGAAGTTTTTCATGTATGATATTTTAGTGTGTGTTTTTTTGTTTCTATGGAAGCTGCCCAGAGTGGCTGGGGAAACCCAGCCAGATGGGTGGGGTACAAATAATAAATTATTATTATTATTATTATTATATCGCTGAGGACAAAATTTAACTGTTGGGGATATACATTAAAGTCACACATCTGTTTACTTTTTAAACCTATTTTGGTTCTATTACATTACCATAATTGGGAATGAAAAAGATATCTATGGGCTTTTCCTCTAGCAATGAGCACTAATTTAAATGTAGATTACTTTATAGTTCATTCACCATCTCAAAGAGACACCTATATGGAGGTTCTGGTATTATGTCATCTTATTCCAATTTAGCTAATTAAACATTAATCTGCTGGTGCACAGATTAATCAGACAAAATTATCCAACTTGTTGATCATCCCAATGTTTCTCTTTCTAAAACTGAAAAGGCTAGCAATGGAACACAAACACATTACTTTTCCTTAATCTCAAAATATGCCTTAATTTACATGCTACATTTTAGCTGTGTCGTTGCTACTCCCCTGTGGTCATTTCCTGCACTGCATTGCTAAACCTGAACATTAAATTTATTGCCTAGAATACTATGTTTATATAAAGCAAGTCCCACTGCACTCAGTACAACTTAAATTTTGAATAAATGTTTAGTTTTTATACATTGGCATTTGATATTGGTTCCGTTAGTTTTTTAAGGATTACAACTCACAAATGCAACTTTTTTTTGTAATACCGATATTATTATTTTTAAAACAACTTTAAAAAGCTTGTAAACATGACAACAGATAACAGAGCTGCCCTCTTTTCCCTACATTGGAAAGTGGCTTCAGAACATTATGCAACTAGCAACACTGTTTCTTGCTCAACACTGCAGAGACAGTTTCTTCAGGAAATTCAACTTCTGGCTAAATAATAACCTTCGTAAACAGAACAAAACTATGTTTATATTAAGTCTACACATACTTAATATCATTCTAGGTATTCTGCTACATGGCTACCAAAGATATTTTGTGTGTGTGTGTGTGTGTGTGTGTGTGTGTGTGTAAGAGAGTGTTATACAATTCTGAAAAAACTATACACAGTTATCCTGTACTTCACTCTTACAATGAAGGGTGAATTGTGTTAGATTAGTCTAGTTTGCTGTGAAATATGGAGATGACTTGTGCTTGTGACACAATCACTTCCAAAGGCCCTCTCCCTATGACTGACTGGTGAGCTATGGACGATGAAGCAAGAAGGGCGGTGGCCAGCATGCAAGTAGCAGGAAACTCACTGTCAGCCAGACAGAACATGAATAAGAGCATGTTATTAAACCTAATCTCTGCAAGTGAAGATCATGAAGAATGAACTATTTTCCACCTTCATTGCATCTCGCAGTAATGTCTGGCAAGTTGTTTAGAGCCTGCCTGTCACAAGCTAGCCCACCTGGAGATGTGAAGGGAGATCTGAAGGCACTCAAAAGCGTCTAAAATTCACTGTTATGGTTGCAACAATTGGAGGGCAGTTTATGAAGGTGGCCCACAGACCCAACTGATTCAGCATTGATGGATGAGTTTCAGTTACTGAGGCCCAAAACTTAATTTCTTATTCAGGTAATGCAAAATAAGTGGATGAAGACCAACAAACTGAGGCTCAATGCATCCTAAATGGAGGTGTCATTAGTTGGTGCCTTATTTTGAACAGGGTTCCACACCCTCTGAATGAACAGATTGACAGTTTGGGTACTCCTTGAGCTCTCTCTGCCAGGAATTACAGGAAGCTTTGACATTTGCAAAATATGAAAGACTTTGGAGTAAAAACTACCTGGCATTTGAGGGTTTTTGCATTCTTCAGAACATCCTGGTAATGCTGTGCATTTGCTTCTTTCACACCATGAAGTTTTGCTGTAGGGAGTAGCAGTGCTTCTACTGTTTTTGTAGGATCTCCCTGATCAATGGCTTCATTGATGTGTCCAATTGCTACAATCCCTACACAAGAACAAATGAAAAGTGTACAGAGTGTGCATATAAAATTGCAACAACTAAGATCATACAAAAGGATTTGGCTTTTAACATGATTTTCTGAAAAACCTTATGTTTCAGAACAACCTGTTGAAAAAAGCAACTGGCAACTAGCTGAGCATGCTGAAGCAGCTTTTCCTATGCTGCTGGGTAGCAGTATATGTAGGCGTAGAGATGGGTAGCCTACATTGAGGAAGGCCAGTTAGAGCCCCCTGTTTCTCCATACGTTCACAGAGCATTCTATTAACCATCTGACTTCTGCAACTTGGTAATAGCCTTGGTAACAAACTAGGCACACTGAGGCTGCACAGAGGCATTGGATACTACTGTATTTCATATAGCCACTGGTCAGCATAGATGTTCAAGGCCTTTGTAAAGGAATAGTATAGGCTGTTGTTGATTAAGAGAAAGAGACCCATTAAATTCCATTGGAAGTGCTCCTAGTCTGGTACAATTTCTTTTTGGGTATATGGAAGTCATGCTTGCTCTCTAATCTCATGCAATCTGTCTGTTCCTTGAACTGCAGTTATCCAAAGAGGCTTGGGAGGAGGAGTGAAGATAGATGTTTCTGATTTCAGTGGTTAATGTGGGTTACTCCGAAAGCCTTAAACTGAAAAATCTCTAGTGGTCAACTCTTTGTTGATCAACCGTGCTGAAAGTTAGGCATCTCTCAGCAACCCAGAATTGTTTTGAAATGGTGGAATGAATGAACGAATGTCATTCAAGAAAGAGGTGATATATAGATAACCACTACTAAACTGCACTGGATTAAATTTGTAGGCCAAACCTAGAGGGAACAACAAAACACTTACTGTCATTTTCTTCTTGAATTTGTGAATTAACCATATCAATTGCATTCTGAATATCATTCCAGCTTAAATATTCTTGTCCTTGAGATGACGCTTCTAATTTAATAGACATCAAGGTATCAGCATAACTGTCGGAAGAGAATTAGAATCTTATCACAATATGCAATTAAAATCTTATGCATTGTACAAGTTGTTCTGGGCCTAATGCTATATATATACTTTACTATAGTTAAAAGACTACTCTAGCTGACTACATAGTTTTACATACCTATCAACAGGTGGAAGCACACAGAACATGCACCTCTCCTCACACATACATGCAGCAGTTTGCAATCAGCTAGCATTCCTGTAATTTCCTACCCAGTAAGCATTCAGTAATATGAAAGCAGCCCTGTCTAGAATGGAAGCTTTTACCGCTGCAAGTTCTCTTCTTCCAGGTTATTAAAGCCAACACATGGGTTGCTGAGATGAGTCTTTGCTGCCGCTACATCCTTGCTTTCCAAAGCCTGGTTTAGCAGCACCACCGCTGATAGCATTTCAACAGCAATAGATAGTTCATCATGAGCCAAGTATTTCTGAAAATAATATATTCTGATCAGCATAGAAATAAAGCAGCTAGCAACAAGTTAAAAAGGACCTATAGCTTAAATTCAGTTTTTTTAAGGTTTCCGAAAGGTTAGAAAAGTCTGCTCTTAAGTAACTGTTGTGGGAAGACAAAAAAAATTCCTTCCAGTAGCACCTTAAAGACCAACTAAGTTAGTTCTTGGTATGAGCTTTCGTGTGCATGCACACTTCTTCAGATACACATGGTATCTGAAGAATACGTGGTATCTGAAGAAGTGTGCATGCACACGAAATCTCATACCAAGAACTAACTTAATTGGTCTTTAAGGTGCTACTTTTTTTGTTTTGACTATGGCAGACCAACACGGCTACCTATCTGTAACTGTTGTGGGAAGGATTAACTAGCACATGACCTCATTGTAACTCAGTCACATTAAGTCATGGGAGAATTTTATTGATCTACATCAATAAGACACTAAGGAAACCAATGCTTTGCCAGCCATATTCCATGCACTACTGCTTTCTTTTTCTTCTTTGCTTTTGCCATTCTCTCCTTCTGTTCTTCCCCCTCTTCTACTTCCCTTTTCCTATTAAGATATTAAAGTACACAATAAACTGATTCCGTCTTACCGCAGCATTCTGTTGCTGAAGATTGAAGAGTTCAGTCTGATAGACATTAGCAGCAGATGGGTAAACATCGCACAACTGAGCCTCGGGTTTCATTAGAGCAGCAATTGTCTTACTGGGGTCACAGTTACGAATTGCAGCGTTGATACTGTCAACTGCTATAAGTTCTAGGGGCAAGAGGAGAAAACGACATCAGAAGTCCCCACACATCTGCTTTGTTTAATACTGTGTACCTTATATTCCTAGTGATACCACTGCCCAAGAAACCCTGCTCAGACCAGTTTTGCAACTCAAGGGGAACTTCACTCCAGACCACGAGTAGAAATGTCAAGTTACTGAGGAGAAAAAAACCTGCAAAGAAAGTGTGCTCAGAATAGTGCAAATGTTTAATTTATGCTTGATATTTAATTTACATGCCTTGTTTGAATTACTTTTTTGGGGGGTGTTAATTTAAAAAAGGTTACAGTGACTGGTAAAAGCACAGCACTTTGAGTGAATGGGCAGATATGATTACAAAGCAAGGGGAGATGTGCCCACACTGAACCGAAACATATTTCTTTCCACCTTTCTTTCAAATGAAAGAAAAGAAAATCTTATTATGATTTTGCCAGGTATCAAGGCCAGACTAGAAATCCCTGATACTACAAAACTGTTCAGATGCACCTATTTACACATGCCTGTTGTTGAAAGAAAATGGAAAGCAATTTAGAGGCTGAGGGTCTACCTTTGTACAGGCTTTCCCATGCACACAAGGATAGGCTGGAACAGGGCTCCTGCCCTTAAGTCTAATGGACAGCAGTAAGTCTAATACTGCAATGAAGTACATGACATATGCATAACTTCCCAACTCTTCAATATTTTCCCAAGAAGGTACAATTGATGCCAACAGGACATGTTTTCAGCACCAGGTTCCAGCATTTTTATTTTCCCC